AATGTTTCATTGTAAAATGGTTTATTTGCTCCGTCTATGCATATTATACGTGTTAATGAAATAGGTGCTTTGTGATTGAAGTTTCATGATTATCCTTGCTGCTTTGTGATTGAATGTACATCTAGGTTCATGGTGATCCATGTTGCTTTGTGATTGAAGTTGATCCGTTTAGTTGGTAGGATGAAAATGAAACGGATGCGTAATGTATTGTGTTCTTTTATGAAATAAATATATGATGAAACGGGTGCATATTATATTTTGTTCTTTATGGAATTAATGTTAATGTGAAAAGATTTCATTATAAAATGGTTCATTGATGTTATATTAATGTTAACTTTTGTTTATGGAATTAATGTTAACTTTTGTTTATGGAATTAATGTTATTTGATGTTAACTTTTGTTTATGGAATTAATGTTATATTGATGTTAACTTTTGTTTATTTAATTAATGTTATATTGATGTTAACTTTATGTATATATATGTAAAATGAATAAATAAATAAGACGTTACCATAAAATACTTAAATTGCTAAAGGCAAGATAAAGCGTGAATGTTTGCTATAAAATACTTAAATTGCTAAAGGCAAGATAAAGCCAAGTCTTGGGAAATATATATGACAATTTAGCAACTTTGGGGACCATTTAATCGAGTAATTGTTTATCGGGTGTCATTCACTTACCTTACCGGGTGAAAATGACAAGGACAAAAATCTTACCCCGTAAATGAGGGATAAAACTCTTACCTACCAAGTGTTTTACCTTGTTAAAGACGTTACCGTTTTGATGCTCAATAATATTAACCAAGGTAACTGAGGGTCGTGGTGACTCTTGCTCTTGCTTGTAGGCGTATAGTTTTTCTTTTCTAATCATAACCTTATAGAAGCATTTGTGCACTTGAAGCAAAAAGTTGCACAAATGCTTCTATATTGTCGCTCTACTTACTAACTATATTCATGCTTATTTGCAATATCCATGGTTATTTTTACAAGTTGAGTTTTGTTTTTGTATGCAAATATCATATTTATTAGTGTCAGCCTTTGTTGTTGGATACGATATTATAGGAAACAAGAGACCCCTTGTGTGAAGCTTTCATTTGAAAAAGTGTATGTAGGAAATTTGACAACATGCTATATACCTATGGGGATGAGAGCCACACATGTGTATATAAATTTGTATTCCTTAACTGTTGGGGGAATTCCCAGTAGAATTATAACTCACAAATTCTCCCAACAATAGAGGAATACAGATAAATATATACATATCGTTGATGTGTGACCCTCATTCCAATAGGTATAAGAATCAACTTTCTATCTGCTCAAACTTCTCAAGTGATCTTTCAAGCATATATACCCATTTGATTTCAAACTATAAATTTAAAATCAGTATAGCCATTTTATCATTGTTGTTTTTCTTCCTGACTAGAACAATGCAACATGTAACAATAACCAAGATTATATCTCACTGATTTTGCAAATAAGCATGATCATAAATTTGTAAGTAGATCGACCTTGTAACAACATAGAATTTGTGTACTTCACCGCAAATTGTTTGTGAACATATAATACGAATGAACGTGATGCTAGACTTTCCAACTTAAGCTTATTGCAACTCCGGTAATTTCATTAGCTCATTCTCAAAGAAAATCTTTAAATTAACCTTTTTAGATCAAGAAAGTCGCAAAGAAAATGATTATATGTTAACAATGAGAATAGAATGAAGCAATAACCAAATGAAGTTAAACGTTTAAGAGTAAAAAATAATATTTTATTAAATATATAAAATTTAATGGCGCAATTTACCGCTATTTCACCGATATTTAGGTAAAATAGCGGTCCACGATACTTATATTAGATGATGTTAATCACTCAGATGTTGAACCTATTGTTTGCAATTAGCTCGTTTATGAACATTTTTCTTATTTTGTTTTGTGAAACTTTTTTAGGTTGATGTTTTGTTGTTGAAACTATATTTTTAATTAATGCATATAATATGTTTATGTAATTCTAAGAAATAGTAGATAAACCTCTATAAATCTATTGTAACATTTTTAGTTAGGACATTTTTAAATGAAGAGTCAAATCAACTATTTCATATTACACTATTTGAAAAAAATTGTTCTAAAAATCTTGTTAAAACACTTAAAAGCATCCTATAGACCTATTGTATTGCTTTTAGATATGATGTTTTATAGTTTGGTCTTGTAAACCTAAGTTCTATAAAATATTCTATTAGAACGTTTTATACTTTGGTCCTATAAAAATAAGTTTCATAAAGTATTCTGTTAGGACGTTTTATAGTTTGGTCCTATAAAACCTAGTTCTGTAAGGTATTCTATTAGGACGCTTAAACAATCATCTAGACGTCTTACAAAATCAATTTTGTTGTAGTGAGGGAATCATGGTGACATTATCACCTTGAATTATCGGGGTTTTTTGCATGAAGGCTTATTATATCTAGTTTTTCTAGGGTTTGTCCTCCAATTTCTTTGGTTTAATGGTCGGTAGATTATCAGACTTGTTTATGTGCATCGAGTTGTAGGGTTTAATTATTAATTTAAATTGAATATATAAATTTTGCAGGAGTTGTTTGTAGTTGCTGAATAGTTTGGTGGATGATGATTAAAAGGCTTTCATGATATAGTGCAAAATGAAATATAATTGTTTGGTAATTATTTATAACGAAATTAGGGTAGTGAATGATTAAAGGAGATCCAAGATACAAGATTATTCAGAGGGTTTTAGAATCATTAAGAGACGGACTTTTTCTTTGTCAAACAAAATTCAAGTCTTAACAATTCAAATGATGTTTATTAAAAGATAAACAAACAACCCCTTAATATGAGATATCATAATCGATTTTCTTCACTTGAGGAATCAATTTATTTAATTCTGAATCAATTAGTGTTTATATTATTAAACTAATATTAAATTATTTAATTTCGAATTAATTAATTCAATTTTGCATGGAATTTATATAATCAATTAATTAATTTATGCTTTATATTCCGTGTCATATGCTCAGAATGGTTGATTTATTTAATTAATTAATTTATGCTTTATATCTTCCTCTAAAATGTGGTGGGGCTGCAAACGCATCTTGTTTAAATTAATAGACAAGTTGCAGGAAATTTCCTCTAAAATGTGGTGGAGCAAACGCGTAGTCTCACATCTCATATCATCAATTCACATCCATCTCTCTTCTTCAACCTTGTCCTAGTATCGATGGCATCTTCATCGTCGTCTTTTCACTCCACTCCTCCCACCTCTTGGAAATATGACGTTTTTCTCAGTTTTAGAGGTACAGACACTCGCTACACCTTTGTGGATCATCTTTATACAGCTCTTATACAACAAGGAATCGGCACTTTCAAGGATGACGAAGAACTTCCTTGCGGCGAAACCATCCGTCCATCACTTTTGAAGGCTATTGAAGACTCACATATTGCTATCGTTGTATTCTCTGAAAACTATGCCCATTCTTCTTGGTGCTTGCAAGAACTTGAACATATTATGAAATGCAAGGTTGAGAGAGACCAAATTGTTATTCCCATATTTTATCATGTTGATCCCTCAGAAATTCGAAATCAAAAAAGGAAATATGGAGAAGCAGGGCACCTATCTGGACATGTCCCCTATGGGTAATCTTATTTTTTTTTCATTTTTTTAAATATAATTAATGCTTAAGGTGTTTGTACTTTACAAGACAATTATACTTGCATCATATAAGCTTCCAAAGGATAATTAAAGCCAAACCTTTCATATAAATCCCATATCTCTAGAGAACGTACAACTACAACCCGTCCATACAAGTATAAAAATCAAGTACAAACTCTAATTGGAGCATTTGTTATTTATCTTTGTTTATCCAATGTCCAGGCCCGAGACAGTATTCATCAAAAACATTGTTAAAGAAATTGTAGAAAGATTGTGTATAGCAATTCTAAGCGACAATGAAGACTTGATTGGAATGGAGAATTGCCTGCAAGATTTGAAATCAAAGTTAGCAATGGATTCACAAGGTGTGCTGATGGTTGGAATATGGGGGCTTGGTGGTGGTGGTAAGACTACTCTTGCATATGCTATTTATGATGAAATCTCYAGTAAGTTTGATGGTTGCTGCTTTGTGAAAAACATTCGGGAAGAATCACGCAAGCATGGTTTGGAGGAATTGCAAAAAGAAATTCTCTCACATATTTTGAGGCAAAAAAAAGAGGATTTAGTTGGAGATGTAAGAAAGTTGATAAAGAGTAGGCTTCGTCGTAAAAAGGTCTTGTTGGTTCTTGATGATGTYGATGATGCTAACCWGCTAAAGGCGTTGGCTTCACATGATTRGTTTAATGAAGGAAGCAGAATTATAATCACAACTAGAGATCAACATTTATTGAAAGTTCGCAAAGTAAATGTGATATACGATATTAGCTTGTTAAATGATGATGAGGCTATGAAGCTATTTAGCAAGCATGCACATGGGCATGATAACCGTATAATTGATTATGATAGTCTTTCAAAAGAGGTTGTTTCTTATGCTAGTGGGCTCCCATTAGCACTTAAAGTTATGGGTTCGTTTCTTTGTGACAAAGACGGGAGTGAGTGGGTGAGCGCCTTGGCCAGACTAAAAGATATCCCTGATTGTAAAATTGTGGAACAACTAAAAATTAGCTATGATGGACTTGAACCCCTTGTGAAAGAGTTGTTCCTAGAAATTGCATGTTTTTTTAGGAGAGAAAAGAAAGTTGAGGCAATGGTGATACTTAAAGCTTGTGGTTTACACCCTGATATAGGAGTAAAGGAACTAATACAAAAGGCTCTCATAACTGTGACAAAAAAAGGAAGGTTTGATATGCATGATCTGATACAAGAAATGGGACACCACGTCGTTCGAGAGAAAGACCCCCAAAATCCTGAAAAACACAGCATGGTTTGGCGGCGGGATGATGTTGTAACGATATGTTCTCTGCTAGAAGAGGCAAGGACCGTAATGTTTAATCTAGCCATGTATATAAGTTATATATTCATATATGTATACCGTAAAGATAATACTTTAAATCAACCCTAACACCATTTTGTTCCTCTATCACAGGAAAATCACTGGATTGAAGCATTAGAAGTTCGGGGTTCGTGGGAACTGGAACGTAGGACATGGAGGGAGGTTCCTTGTAGTCTTCCTTGCGCTGTTGCGAACATGAAGGAGCTTCGGTGGATTTCTTGCTTTGGATATCCAGGAACTTCATTGCTAAGAAATTTCAACCAACTAAGCTTTCTTATCTACGATTGGATTCATTCTTTCTAGAGCAACTTTGGGAGGGTGAAAAGGTAACTCTTTTTGTCTTTCTCATTAAGTGGATGATAAATTATAAATATGAGTAATTTATAGAATATATTCTATTTACTTATATGAAGGGGGTAGAATATGATGTTAACGTGATTAGAATATATTAGTAGCTAAGTGTGACCCTTTTAGTTATGAAAGTTATTTGTGTTCTATTTTAAATCTAATTTTGTTTAATGTTTCCTAGAAGAACTAAATGTTAAGAGTCAACAAGCATTGAATTCTTAGTTTTGAAGTTACATTTGAATGATACATGGCCCATTTTTATTTGTTTTTGGAATAATATAATTAATTTCTGTTACTTACTTTCTATCTTTCTGTATCCTAGCTTCTAAACACTCTATGCTACTAAAAGATATTTTTCCATTGTTGACTTGTGTGTAATTGTATACGACAGCATCTACCAAATTTGAAAGTGCTCGACCTCACTGGTTGCCTAAACCTTATTAGGACACCAGATTTTCAAGGACTTCCACGTCTTGAAAGAATAATACTCAACACTTGTCGCAAGTTAACAGATGTTCATCCATCAATTGGATATCATGAAAGGATTATTTCCGTGGACATGTCATATTGTATGAGCCTTAAAATGTTTCCACCCATTAGAGGGATGAAAAAGTTGGAGACTCTTGTTCTCTCTTGGTGCTCTCAATTTTGCATGTTCCTAGAGATCCAAATGAACATGGATAACATGGTAGAGCTTTCTTTGGTGGGAACTAGAATAAAAGTTGTACCCTCGTCAATCGGAAAATGTTGTACCAACCTTCTTTCTCTTGATTTGCTATGTTGCGAAAGGCTAAAGAGTATTGAAGGCAACTTCCATAGCTTAAAACATTTGAAAGAGTTTCATATCCAAGGTTGTAAAGAGCTTAAGATACCAGCAGAGGGCCTCTTTGATCTAAAAGGTTGTTTAGAGGTGCTTAATTTATATAATACATCCTTCAAGAATCTTCAACCAGGCATCGCAAGCATGAAATTTCTTGGTTTTCCACCTTCCTTGAGAAGGTTGGGTCTTGGTTCGTGTAATTTAATAAGTGGAGACATCTCAGCTATTCTTTGCGAATTATCCAACCTACTAGTATTAGACCTACAAGAAAATAATTTTTCACGATTGTGTTGCAGTAGCCTCTTGCAACTTCGTGGTCTAAAATTCCTCGACTTGTCATTTTGTTGTAACCTTGTAGAATTACCAGATCTCCCATCAAGCATAGCTGTTCTCCGAGCATATGGGTGCGACAAGCTTAAAATTGTAGATCTTCCAATAAATCTTAAATGGTTGTGGAGAATCTCATTTTCAATGAAGAGTATATCGGGTGATGTTCATAGAAAAGTACAATCGATGCTTCAGGTATGACTCTTTATATCTTSWTGTTGAATTTCAATATTAATTAATTTGTATAGGTAGACTGAAACAAAATAATATTCATCATGATAGGGAAAAGATAACTCCATCAGTCTCTTTTTTGATGCCGAAAACATTCCAACAAGAGACTTTGCAAGGAGAAGATTAATGTTAGAGCTTCCAAGGAATTGGTACAATGAATTCAGTGGATTCTTAATATGCATTAAAGTTGCTGGGATTTTTGCCRGCAAGTCTGATGTAATTACTATCGAGGAYGTAATGGGTTGGGAAAATGAAGATKTGTTTGATGGAACTCCCAAGGAGACTTACGATGACATATGCATATGCTATGTATATATATCCTTCAATTCATTGAGGCATACCTCATGGTGGAAGTGGAAGTCAACACACACTACCATTTCATTTTCCATAAAAGCACATGCTTACTTAAAAGTCGAACTTGTTCCTGGGAGATGTAAAGGTGATTCAGTAGAAAGAGTCAAACATACAACAGAGTTTTGGGATACAGAACCTATTGAGATCGCACATGATTCAAAATCTTGTATCAAGATTAACTGGTTTCATCATGATAAGGCGTCCCTGTTCCACGATTAGAATGTCTGATATTCTTTTCACTAATATGCCCCATTTTTATAAAAGAACTTATTCCTCTTCTTGCTTAATTAATAGTGAAGATCTCTAACCTTGTTGGAAGGTCTCTTTGCGGAACCTTGTTAAATCCTAGCATATTTTTCCTTTCTCCTTAATTTCTTTGAAACATACTTGATTTCTTAACATGTCCTGCATCGTTTTAACATTTAAAAAATAAAACCATGTTTCTGCATTTAGATTAAAACAACAAATAACACTTCAAAATATTTGTCAACAAGAATTATATATATGTCAATTTATGCTAGATGTATTTTAGGTTTATTTGTTTTACTTTTTTCTTATAAAAAATGAAACTTGATAAAAGGAGATATCACTTAAAAGCATCTCCAACACATTCTCTAAAATGGAGATTTTAGGGTTCTGAGCAAGTTTTTTGCTACCAAAGATTCTCTAAAACCATTCTCCAAAGTAGAGGGAGGGAGGGAAAGAGAGACAAAGAAATCCAATTTTTTTTATTATATTCCAACTAATTGAGATTAAATGTTTAGGAGATAGAAATAATATTCTATTAAATGTATCAAATATTTTAATCACATAATCAATATTGTGATCTCCAAAATTTAGAATCTGTTAGAGTTAAATGTAATTTATTTGTGAAGATTTTTAATTTTGATCCTCCATTTTAAAGAAAATTTAAAACATATGTTAGTGATACTCTTATGGGCTGTTTGACAGTTACTAAATAGTTTTGTGCATGATGATTAAGTGATCCGAATGAATAAGAGATTCTTATAATATAATGCAAAATGAAATATAATTGTTTGGTAATTGTACAACATGAAATTTAGGCATTGAATGGTTTAGGAGGTCCAAGATGCAAAATCGTTCAGAAGGTTATGAAACCATCAAGAGACGGACTTTTATTTTTATCAAACAAGATTCACCTCTTAATAATTCAGGAAATCGAACTATAAAGCGACTTATTTAAATGCGTTACAATAGATTTATAGGATGCTTCTAAAAGTTATCAAATGTCCAAACTCTTTCTTACATTTTTCACCTTAACTCTTATTATTACATGATCCTCTGTCAAATCTGCCCARCGTAATCTCTCTTCTGCCCAACTGCCAAATCTTAACGTAATCTTGAAAATATAAAGGAACTTTTATTTTATATATATGTATATATATATATATATATATGAGAACCTGTATGATTTCTTATTAAATGGTCAAAATCACTAAATTTATGATATGATTTGCTTAAGAAAATGGCAAAAATCACTACACATATTATGTGATTTGTTTACAAATGGTGAAAATAAATAAACCGATAGACTTATTGGTGTGAGTGGCTAAATGCGTGAGTCGGGATTTTCGATCAAGGTGGTCCTCTAATATATATATATATATATACACACACACACAAATATGTACATAAAATAATAAATAAAAATCCTTTGGCGTGCAACCAGGTTGGCTCAATGGATGAGGAGATGTTTGTTACAAAATACTGAAATTGCTAAATGCAAGATAAAGCCAGGCTTTGGGAAATATATATGACAATTTATCAACTTAGGGACCATTTAACAAATGGTTACCGGGTAACTGATAATATCGGATGTCACTCACTTACCCTATCACTCAAAAATCTTACCCATCAATCAGGAAGAAAACTCTTACCTGGTAAGTGTTTTACCAGGTAAAAGACGTTTACCAACAATCTATTTTCATGACCAACAATGTTAACCAAGGGTAACTGAGGATGGTGACTCTTGCTCTTGCTCGTAAGCCTATTGGGATAAGAGCCACACATGTGCATATAAATTTGTATTCCTCAACTGTTGGGGAAAATCCCAATAGAATTATAAGTCACAAATTTCCCCAACAATTGAGGAATACAGATCAACATGTGCATATCGTTGATGTGTGACTCTCATCCCAATAGGTATATGACATATCCATGGTTATTTTTACAAGTTGAGTTTTGTTTTTGTATGAATATATCATATTTATTAGTGTCAACCTTTGTTGTTGGATACTTCAATTATTGGATCCTTACTTTTTTCAAATGTCCTAATACAAATTTCATAGAACCTATAATTTTAGACAACTTTTTGTCGTTGGAAGAATGAAAATCCTTTTTGTGGGGGCATCTAATTTGACTCGTGATTTGCAAAACATGGCGGTATGTATTACAAAGTTATTATGAAAAAGATTATGATTATATGTTCTCTATAAAAACGTAAAATACATTTAAGTCATCCTCAGGTTTCTTTATGACCGGTTATTGTTGTATATTTTACTTCATTTCTTCTCTAAAAGACTTCTATGGAGTTAAGTAATTTTTATCGATTTCAACTTCTAGAAGCCTTTTTGGAGTTTAAAGGTCGGTCTAATGATGTCTTATATGAAATTATTTTCTTGATACATCATTTGGACTTCCTAATTTACTATTCAAGGAGACCGCACGGTCTCTCTCTCTAAATCTTATTCTTTGCATCCATAATAACAATAAGTAAGGTACTTGTCTTTTTCACGCATTCTATGTAAACTATTTGTTTTTGTTACGGATGGTTGCACAAGCTGCTAACACAAACATCTCTTATGGATTGATATTTCAATCTAACATGAGTACAAAGGTAGCACACATTACGATATGATGGAGGAATTTGAGAGTTCAAAACTGAATAGATCTTGAATAAACTTTTACATCCCGCTGCATTGTGCGGGTAAACAACTAGTAGATTCATCAATTAGTCATCATGAAAGGCTTATTGACGTGGATATGCAATCTTGTACCACCTTAAAGAGTTTCCACCCATCAGCGGGATGAAAAAACTGGAGTCCCTTCTACTGTCTAATTAAGTGCTATAAACTTTGCAAGTTCTTAGAGATCCAAATGAACATGGACAACATGGTAGAGCTTTCTTTGAAAGAAGAAACTGGAATTTGTTGGAGTTGATTGTAATTTTTTAGATATTTTATCTTTTGTTCTTTATTTTAGAGAAATTATAAATAATGAATTTGTCAGAGATGCTCTATCATAACCCATAATTTAACAACGTCTAATGTTAACTTGCAACAAATGTTACAGATAATATAACAAATGCTACCAATGGGTATTTGGCCTAGCGGTATCGTAGTCTTTCGCTACTAGGAAGTTAGGGGTTCAAACCTCACCAAATGTAAGGGAAATGTGTGAATTTATTTGTTGCATTTGCCATATATAAATATTATATACTTCAAAAAATATATATATAACAAATGTTCATTTATCTAGTAAACCTCAAAACTTGACAACTTGATATCCACAACATCATTAATTATAAGATCTTTCGATAACCACTAAATGAATACGAAATAAGTAGAATTAGGCCTATATTACACTAATAGAAAAAAAAATATCATCATATTAAATAGGAATAAAAACAAAATTTATTATATTTTAAATATATTTATAGGCTTTGATTGTAGGTTAAATCAAAGTCTTTGTTACATAGAGATGGCATCACTTGTTGACATGGTTATTATATATAGAGAGAGACACTTGGGATCATGTGAGAGAAGCCTGTTTTTGTGAGACCCGTGAGACCAAAACACTGTGAAGTTTTAAAAAAGTCGAACCTTCATAGCAAAAACACCGTGAAGGTTACCTTCACAGCAAAACCTTCACAATGTTTTTGCTGTGAAGTTTCAAGTGTAAAAATGTGGTCTCACGATTCTCCCGAAAACAGCCTGGTCTCACGTGAACCCAACCATATATATATATATATATATATATATATATATATATAGTTTGTTTCAAATACAACCCGTTGCATTTGTATAACCAATGCAACCCAATAAATTGAGATATTTATGGAAATGATGAGAGTTCATTTATTATGATTTGAATATTTATGGAAGATGAATATAGTTCATTAAGTATGATCAATACTTTATAATAGGAAACAATCAAAACTTATGTAAAATCACATATTAATAAAATGAAATGGATGGTTGACAATGCAATGGAATTTTGAAATTTAGAACTTGAACCCTCGATCATGATTCACATTTTGTTCTATTATTCGTCTTTTTCGATTTTATTTTATGGTTTTAATAAAGCTAAAATTAATATATTTTAATAAAAAAAATGAGATGTTTTTTTTCGGGTTTTCTGATGTTTATCGGTTAAATAGAAGAATTCAAACATTGAGTTTTGAAATTTCATATACTTTTCGATTTAAAATAAATTAATATAAGTTTTAAACTAAAAATTATAAATTTTTTATTTTATAGCTTAAATTTAAATTTAAAATTTTATTATAATTTAGATTTAAAATATAAATTTAATTTATTTTAGTTGTAATGAGTCGCCTTCACATTCTGTATGCCATGCCTCCTTTGTTGACTTTTAAATGACTTTTGAAGCTAACGACACCATTTCCATGCAAAAGGTTTTGAAACCATTTACACACGTAACTTTTTGGAGTGTTACTACTTTTTTTTTTGACCGGCAAAGAAAAACGAAGTATCATAAAAAGACCTTTCAGCACCCTATTTTTACAGGCAAGAAACAAGACATGGGGGAGTTACACCACACTATTAAACTATTCAATAAAAGACCTTTCGG